ACAGAGAACCTACTGTTGACCCGCCGCTGTGGAGAAGAACATATCCACGAGTTCTTCCGCCCCAGACACAGGCTCCTTACTGACCCAGCTGGCGGGGACAGGGGCGGGCAGGGGAACGGGGTAGGGGGCCAGGGGGCGGGGGTGGGGGGAGGCGGAGAGGAAGTTACACTGGTAGTAATGAGTGAAAAAGGCGATATTATCTGGGTGGTGTTTGGTTGTTGTGGTTGTTGTGGTATGATTGTTGTGGTTATGGTGGTTGTGGTTGCTGTGCTGTTTGAGTGTGGTGTGGTAATTGTATAGTAGTTATGGTAGTTGAAATGATTATATATAGTTTGTCATAGTGATAGTTGTTGCCGTCGTAGTATTATTAGTGGTGTTGTGGTAGTGTTAACCTAGAGTTGTGGTTGTATTATGATATCGTGTTAATGTGTTATAATGTCATATTGTGTCACGGTGCCATATTGTATCATGATGCAGCGTTATAAGTATACAGTGTTGCATTGTGCCACTGTACCGTAATGTCATCAAGTTTACAATAACCTATAGTACTAATAATAATTAATAAAATCCACAGAAAACAGACCCATAAATGTCCCTCTCCTAAACCACCCATTAAACCTCAAACCAAAACCCCTGTACGACTATGAATTAACTCCCATCATGAACACAGGAAGGACTAAGCCACTCGAAACACTCAGCTGTGAAGAAAAGACGGCGTGATAAGACTGGTTCAGCTTTCATTAGATAACTCATTGCAATCCTTCGTCTACTAGTGGGATATCAATGAGGCGTTTTATTTAATTTTTTTTTTATTTTTATCTCTTTGACATGTGTTGGTAAGGGGAAAGCATTGTTAGGTAGTGTGTGTGTGTGTGTGTGTGTGTGTGTGTGTGTGTAGTTGTTTGTTTGTTAATTGTGTATTAATGATGACAATCAGACAGACACTACTTACACCACACAACATAATACACCACACAACACTACCACACAACACCACCTCACAACACCATCTACACCACACACCACCCACCATCTACACCACACAGCACACTACACATTACACCACCACCTACAACACACACACCTTACACCACCCTACACCCCTACACACACAGCACCACCTACACCCATTACACCTACACCACAAAACCACCCCTACACACCACCTACACCACCCTACCATCTACACACACAGCACCACCTACACACACATACCACACCTACACCCACAACACCACCTACACACACAACACCACTCCTACCACCTACACACACACCTACCTACACACACACAACACCATCTACACACACAACACACCTACACACACTACCATCTACACCGCACCTATACCACCCTACCCACACAACACCATCTACACACAGCACCACCTACACCACACAACACCATCCTACACACAACACCACCTACACCACACACTACCATCTACACCACACACAGCACCACCTATACCCACATCACCACCTACCACACAACACCACACAACACCACCTACACCCATTACACCACCTACACCACACAACACCACCACCACACAACACCACACAACACCACCTACCACACAACACACATACACCACCTACACACACACAACACACACAACACCACCTACACCACACAACACCACACACCACCTACACCACACACACCACACAACACACACAACCACCTACACCACACAACACCACACACACCACCTACACCACATTACACCACACACAACACCACCTACACCCACACCACCACCTACACCCACACTACACCTCCACACCACACTATACACACAACACCATCTACACACACAGCACCACCTACACACACCACCTACACACAGCACACCTACACACACACACAACACCACCTACACACACAGCTCCACCTACACACAACACCACCTACACACACACAACCATCTACACCACACAACACCCCTACACACACACACTACACCTTCACCACACAGCACCACCTATACCATTACACCACCTACACCACAACACCATCTACACCACACAGCACCTACACACACAACACCATCTACACACCACCTACCACACACACTACACCATCTACACCACAGCACCACCTACCCACATTACACCACCTACACCACACAACACCACACACACCACACACATTACACCACCTACACCACACCACCACCTACACCACACAACACCACACAACACCACCTACACACACAACACACACTACACACCTACACACACATTACACCACACAACACCACACAACACCACCTACACCACATTACCACCTACACACACAACACCACCTACACCCACACAACCCTACACACACAACACCATCTACCCACACCCACCTACACACACAACACCATCTACACACAACACCACCTACACCACACTACACCATCTACACCCACATTACACCACCTACACACAACACCACAACACCTCCTACACCACACAACACCATCTACACCACACTACACCATCTACCACACACCACCTACACACACACAACACCACACAACACCACACAACACCACCTACACCACACAACACCACACTACACCACACCACCTACACCACACAACACCACCTACACACACACCACACTACACACAGCACATCTACACACAACACCACCACCACACAACACCAATTACACCACTACCATTTATTCTATATAATTACGTCAGTTATGTATCGTCAGGTAGGGAGACAGACAACCAAGTACTGCAATTATTTACCAGACTTGATCCTCGTCCCCCACCCAAGACCTACAACATACAGCCTCCTGGATCAAATTATTTCCAGGTGTTGACGGCATTATGGTCAACAATATGTACTAGAAATGCATCTTGTGTCTTGTTTTTTCATAGTTGTTTTTTATCAGAATTTCGTTACCACAGTCATTTTAGTGTGTGTGTGTGTGTGTGTGTGTGTGTGTGTGTGTGTGTGTGTGTGTGTGTGTGTGTCCGAGATAGGAAAGAGTTCAGTCTATTTTTTTTTTTTTTTTGTTGGGTGTGGGTGAGTTTCTTGGTCTAATGTACTGACGCCGGGAAGCTGTCTGATTAGAGTGATGACCTAGAGCTTACAGTAAGTCTTTCCTGCCGGTACACAGCCTTCCTCCGTGCTAAGACATCCGCAATAACTAGGCCCTTGGAGACTTAAAAAGGACATCGTAGCAGGTTGAACTCCCCGAGGTATACAGTGTGTAAGGTCCATGGCTGTGAGGAAATGCCTTTGACACTTACCAACACCAGACCCAGGCGTAGAGAGGGACACGATAACCTTGGATGGTTATTTACCCAGAAGAAACGCTGACAGGAAGCAAATTGGTGGAGAAGGAGTGAAAGTGGTGGACGGATGTGTGTTGGTACAGTCGCCTTCACTTATATCTGGTACTGTTTATCTTTCATCCTTAATCTGGCTACTATTGAAGGTTCCTTGGGGGCTATTTTAAGGGTTTTAATATGATGTAAACAAACACAGAGGTTGCCACATCTCTCAATACGCACCAGCCAACTACTGTACCAGGTGTAAGTGCAGCCGACTGTACCTGTGTTAAGTCCTTTCTACACGCTTAGAAGGGAGTCTATTAGAGGACTATTTTACATGACACTAGTACATCATCACATATCAAAAAAACACCACCAAAATACCACCACTACACCTCCACAATACCACCACGACACCACCCCACCATTACCGCCACCACCCCACAGCACCGCCACAACATCACCACCACACCACCACCATAATACCACGAAGATCAGCTGGGTTGTGACGTCACGGGGGTGGTGTGGGGTGAATAACCAGTGCGTCGCCAGGAAGTGATGCTTCCCTCCATCCTGTCTACATGTGCGTCAAGTTCTGTGTACATGTGTGCGTTGAGTGTCGTACATATTAGTGGGAAATGTTATACTTGTAAACGTTAAGTGTCGTACAATTTTTGCCGTTGTATGTTTACGTGTTTGCCTCGTTTGTATGATTGTATACGTTGTGTGTCGTATACATGGGTGTTTTATGATGTACATGTATACGTTCACTGTGTCATACATCTGGTTGGGATGAGAGAGGGAAGGGGGGGGAGGGATTTCATACATGGATACGTGCCGCGTGTCAGATACAGGTGCCGGAAGTTAGGTCATAGACAGCCTGTGCTTATTTCATTATGAACGAGAGATTCAACTCTTTTTTGTCTTTTTACCAATCTGCTATTAATCCTCTTATGTGCGATGATGACTTATATTGAGTACGATAATTGAACCGAATTCGATGACTTAACTGAGTACGATGGCTTAAGACATTGAGTACGATGATTTAACAACTCCGAATACGAGGATTTATCTCAAGTACTATAATTTAACCCATTGAGTACGATCCCAACTTCCTGAGTGTAAAGAAATTGGCATATTGAATAACGTTTAATATCCCCTTGAGTACGGTACCTTAATCCTGTACAATACACTAAACCACTTTGAGTACGATATTTTGACTCCTAATTATACAATGGCCTATTCCCTTATGTACTATAACATTATACTCAGGGTAAGACATTGTACTCAGGTTAAATCATCGTACTCAGAAATCATCTTAGGTTAAATCATCGTACTCAGGGGTTAAATCATCGTACTCAGGGGGGTTAAATCATCGTACTCAGGGGGGTTAAATCATCGTACTCAGGAGGGTTAAATCATCGTAACTCAAAAGGTTATTGAGGATACAGACACAAAAATACATCTGTAGGCGTTTCTTTATGTATTTGTTGATGATTATAGTTAACATTACATAACAACAACTATTAACCCCCATTACCTTCAGTAAGTCGATGTTTATATAATCATATAAACACAAATTGACGCAACATTTTCTTATATAATTCTTCTACTCATAGTGACTATATGAAACTCTTGAGCAGCTTGATATAAGGATGATATAATATGACTATAATACCAAAAGATGATGAAGTATTCAGTATTCAGGTTACTTACTCGTCATAAGATCCCTGGCGAGCGCTGACTGCTGCAGGGACCTCAGGTGGCGCTGGTACAACCTCTTCTGCGCCAGTAAAGCTTCAGCAGACTTAAGCTTAGCCCTGGCAGCTATAGTGGCAGGGGACTCATGCTGAGCTCCGCCAACTGAAGGAAAATCACCTGTTGTCCCCGGGGAGTCGACACATGAGGGCGTCGATTGGACTTGATTTTGATCTTTATTCTCAGATGCTTGTTGCCTGAAAGATGAAATTAATATGTCAATTTTTTCAGACAGGATGAGGTTTTCTGTAGTGATGGGAGAGCTTTTGAAGTACTGGGGGAGGATTTCTGTAGTGCTAAGGGCTTCTGTAGTGATAGGGGCTTCTGTAGTGCTGAGGGAGGCCTTCTATAGTGCCGTGGGAGGATTTCTGTAGTGCTGGGGGCTTCTGTACTTCTTGGGGAGGGTCTTAAACAGTGCCGGGAGGGAAGGAAGTAATCTAGTGGGGTGGGGTGGTGGGGTGTGGTGGACTAGTGCAAGATGCCAAGGAATCGGTTTACATGTGTGAGCTTACTTGACGAGCGAGAGCCTAGTGTTGAGTTGGCTTTAAAGAGCTATTTGACACACTCCAGCTGTGATTATAATTAGTACATGTCTTTAATGAGTAGATTACGGTGATTGTATCCTATTACTAGTTTTAGAATAGGTCAAATTTTCGGCACTGGAAGTCATTGTGGAAAAAGGAGAAGTTGTGTATCTTGGGTGAAAATTTGAAAGATGTGAATTTAGGCTTCAAGTGACTTTAGATGACCTTAGGAGAGACATCAACAACCCCCCAGCTTTAGTGAGTCGTGTGGTCATGGTCAGGGACTTAGGAACACCATAAGACCCATCAACGTCCTTCAGTTATCGGTAGGAGCAGCAACACAAGCAGCTAACAACAGCAGTAAAACAGGAAGTGTATTGAGGGATACGAGTAGAGGGTTTGGTCTCCGCTACAGCTCCAGAACACAACACTTCTTACTGCACTCCAACAACTAAGGTCTTTAATTGCGTAAAAAGATTTAGTAATTATACTAGTTTGTTAACAATGATGAGAGACAGAACTGTGTGTGTGTTGTATCATGAAGTATGAGAGATAAGTGTGCCATAGACAACAGTGGTGCGTCAACAAACACTCCCTGATGTACAAAGAGTGTGTTTACAGAGGATGTGTTTGGACTGAAGTGTTCTGGCGTGCAATTCACACTGATGATTACAAGCAACAAAAATGTTTACTTAATTTTTCTTTTCTTCGAGAGGGTGGTGTGCCGCTGTCCCTGTACCAAGAGCCATGGTAAATAATCTAAGTGCCAGAAGTGGATAGTCTTTACCCTCCCCAGAGAACGTTAATATACGTGTAGTCATAAAACACTTGGACCTTATATTGCTGGACAACAAACAGGACCACGACACTAACGAAGACACACCTTGTAAACGACACATACAGCCATTGTTGATCTACTGAGTCAGGATTTTAAACAGGATTATATCATCGGTAACAGTTTAGTCATATCCTTGATGATCGCGTGAAAATAACTCGACACGAAGTCTTGTCGTCGTATAAGAAGGCGTGAGTCACCAGCATACTTCCCTGACGCCTGGGCGGCCACTCCGCCTATAGCCTTTCAGAGTCACCTCACAGTTTTATACTCTTTGTGTAGCATAAGTGTAGGCGGGTCTCTCACCCCTAAATAGCAGTAGCTGTTATTGGTTAGCAGTTCGAGGCGACATGAAAGGTGTCCGAGGGTGTAGAGTAAACAGCCCGCCATTACCCAGTGGCTACACCAGGTGGGCTCAGCTGGCTGGCGCACGCGAACCTCAGCCTCTCACTTACACGCCTCGTCCGGGGGCTATTTTGAGGTCTTTATCTCTTGTTGGCTTTATTCATTTAGAGAGAGAGAGAGAGAGGGGGAGAGAGAGAGATAGAGAGAGACTATCGTAAAATGAGATGTGGATGTAAGAGAAGGTGTGGTGTAGTGGCGGTGAAGATGACAATAGCGAGCAAAACAACAACACACACACTACTCGTCCTGCCTCACCTTTCACGCCGACAAACACTAATATACCTCACTATCGACTCTATAAACTCCATATACAAATCGTCTATAAGTACCGAAAACAAAAGAACCCAGCCAATGAAGAAAAACAAAAGAAGATCGACAACTAAACTGAGCGAACATGAGAAGGTAAACAGACTAGAGAGGCGTAGGGCCGGAGGTGAAAGGGATGAGATGTTGGGGGGGATAGAGGAAGGCAAAAGGGGCTAAGTGTTTCATAACAAACTGTGAAATATTACAGCTGACGAAGAACCTGGAGAGAGGAGGCGAAAAAAACACTGAATGAAGGTGAAACATGATCACTGTACACTACTCACCACCGGGGATTATTTTACTCATGCATAAAGGAGGAGGAAGGGGAAGGGGGATGAGGGCAGGGAAGAAGGAAGACAGGGATGAGGGGAAGAGGAGGACAGGGAGCAGTAGAAGGAGGAGCGTGAGGGGTAAGAGAGAGAGAGAGAGAGAGGAGAGGAGGAGAGAGAGAGAGAGGAGAGAGAGAGAGAGAGAGAGAGAGAGAGAGAGAGAGAGAGTGAAGGAAGTGAGAAATATAAACATACATTTAGGAACACAGACGCTAAGAAAGAGGAATAAGAGAAAGATGAAGGATACGGGAAACTAAAAAGGTGTGGTGGAGGGAAACAGACAGAGATTCATGGACGTGGAGCATAGCTGACAGTTCCTCGAGCCCATGACAACTCCTCCTACCTGTGACAACTCCTCCTACCTGTGACAACCTCCGTGACAACTCCTCCTACCTGGACAACCTCCTACCGAACCTCCACTGACCCTCGAAACTCCACCTGGACACCTCCTACCCAGACAACTCCTCCTACCTGTGACAACTCCTCCTACCTGAGACAACTCCTCCTACCTGTGACATCTCCTCCTACCTGTGACAACTCCTCCTACCCAGACACTCCTACCTGACATCTCCTCCTACCTGTGACAACTCCTCCTACCTGTGACAACTCCTCCTACCTGTGACAACTCCTCCTACCTGTGACAACCTCCTACCTCGACAACTCCTCCTACCTGTATAACTCCTCCTACCTGACAACTCCTCCCACCTGTGATAACCCTCCTACCTGTGACAACTCCTCCTACCAGACAACTCCTCCACCTTGATAACCTCCACCTGTGATAACTCCTCCTACCTGTGACAACCTCCCACCTGGATAACTCCTCCTACCTGTGACAACTCCTCCTACCTGTGACATCTCCTCCTACCTGCAGACAACTCCTCCTACCTGTGACAACTCCTCCTACCTGTGACAACTCCCTCCTACCTAACCTCCACCTGTGATAACTCCTCCCACCTGTGACAACTCCCCACCAGACAACTCCTCCTACCTGTGATAACCCTCCTACCTCAGACAACTCCTCCTACCTGTGACAACCTCCTACCTGTGACAACCTCCCACCTGTGACAACTCCCTCCTACCTGTGACAACTCCTCCTACCTGTGATAACTCCTCCTACCCAGACAACTCCTCCTACCTGTGACAACCTCCTCCCTACCTGTGACAACTCCTCCTACCTGTGACAACTCCTCCTACCTGTGACAACTCCTCCTACCTGTGACAACCCTCCTACCTGACAACCCTCCCACTGGACACTCCACCTGACAACTCCTACCTGGACACTCCTCCACCTGGACAACCTCCTACCTGTGACAACCCTCCCGACCCTCTACTGGACAAGACAACTCCTCGAACCTCCACCTGTGACACTCCTCCCCACAACCTCCTACCTGTGACAACTCCTCCTACCTGTGACAACTCCTCCTACCTGTGGCAACTCCTGCCCATCACTAGATATACCTCACGTTATAGGGCAAAACCAGTGTCTACAAGCTTTATGTTTATGTATTATGTAAACAATACAAAAAACCACTAGCCTATAGGTAAACAAACATAGTGTCGAGGTTGTTTACTGGCCACCACACCCAACTTACCTTCTAAGTGCCACTTGGGCCGCCATCACCCTCTGCCGCTCCACCACCAGCAGACAGTTGGCACAGCGGCAGTCTCGCCAGCGACACAGCTTCTTGTGGCCCTTGAGGCAGGACACCACACCATGGTTCCTACACCGGGCACACTTGGGGGTCCTCAGGAACCGTCGGGAAGATGAGACGTTCTTTTTGTTTGTGGTGAAACTCGAGGACGTCTTTGAGGGGGAGACATCTTGAGGGCGGCGGTGGTGAAGCTGGACCCGTCGCTACTCATTCTGAGGAGGAGTCCACACATATGTTTATTAGTGCCATATATGAGTCGACACACCTGTTTTAATGATGACATATATGAATCTACACACCTGGTTATTAGTACTACATATGCTGCCCCCTCTCCCTCTCCACAACCCACCAACCTGACCCCTCACCCCTACCTCATACACCCAGACCTTCCCACCTCTACCTATTACTCTCATATCCAAATAATTACCTCCTCACGCCCTTCATTACCTCCCTCCACCACACCAAGGAGATCCTTTACCTCTCCTTACCTCCTACACCCACGTCCCAAAAGTTCCTTAAAGGTACGATCAGGTGAATCCCACAGAAGAACTATTGACCAACTTTGAAGACCTCCTGACGAATGATTATCCAGATATTCTTTGTATCCTAAGAATTTGATGGTGATGGCGTGTATGGTGAAGTCATCATCGTCATCACACGAGAGGACGAGTATAAACATTGCTTGTGTTGGTTGGCTTCACAAAACACCTCACACGTGTAGCTGTCGTAATCATTGTGAGGGAATCATAACATGTTTGGTATATAGCTGTTGAAACCCTCAGTCAACACGGTGCTATCTATATTCGTTCTTATCGTCCACAATACAGCCATCACCCACGTTCACATCATCCACGAGACACTAATAAACCAGCCCAACCGAAAACTCTCTAAAACACATTACGGTCAGAGTATGAATGTAACGTAACCACACGCACACACACACACACACACACACACACACACACAGGAAATATTACACTGTAAATTATTGTAGTCTCAAGTCACAAGATCTTTATTCGTGGTCTAGAAGTGATATACCTGTAGGCGACGTGGCAGAAGGGGTCCGTCGGAGCGTAGTATGATCTTATACACTCGCGTCCACAAAAAAAGGAGGAAGAGGCGGCAGGGGGCAAGGGAGGGGGGGGCAAACTGACGAGCAGGAGGATAGATGGGGGCAAGGAGGAAGGGGTAAGGGAAAGGAGAGGGCAGACGGGGAAGGTGGAGGGCAAGGGGAAGAAAGAAGAGGCAGACGGAAAAGGAGGTAGGGCAAGGAGGAAAGGAGGAGGGAAAGAGGGGGAAGAGGACCAAGAGGGCAAGAAAGAGGGGGTAGATGGACGGGCAGGTGGGCAAGAGAGCAAGGTGCGCAAAGTGGGCAAACGTACAAGGATTCAAGTGGGTGTTATCAATCTAAACATACACACACACACACACACACACACACACCTCTGCCAAGCTATGAGAATTTTATGTGCAGGACAAACACACTCAATAAGTCCCGATATCACTCAAACACACCCTAACACACTCAAACACATCCAAATCCACTCAAACACACTAAAAATCACCCTAACACACCCATACACATCCAATCACACTCAAAACACACCCTAACACACTCAAACACTCCCCAACACACTCAAACACTCCCCAACACACCTCTCTTTCACCTCCCACTCATAAAAGGTAAAAACAAAAAATCGAGAGGAATTCTGAGGGTGACGTAGATTTTAGATGTGTTTTTGTACTTGTTACCGAGAAGCCTAACCTGTTGACAATAATAAGCAACACGTGTACATTATCTGAGGCCGCGGGGCAGAGCTTGAGACTGGCGGTGACTGACAGGCCCCCGTTCTGGTCGTCCGCCACACTACTCCCCCTGCCCTGCTCTCTCTCTCTCTCTCTCTCTCTCCACCTCTCTGCCATCTCTTCCCTCCTGCCTTCCTCTTCTTCCCTCACCTTCCTACCTTGCTCTGCTTCTCTCCTCTTCAACCTAACCCAACCCACTCAGGTAAAGTTAGGATACGTAATCACTAGGAGAAATTAGCTATGGGTGTCTAATCATCAGGTGACCCATAAGAATATTAAGGTATAAGGTTAGGTTAGGTTAGGTTTAGAGGTTAGGTTAGGTTAGGTTCTCTGGCCTTCATCATAAGAACTTTCATTGTTGCCACGTACTGTACAAGAGGCGTATATCTCACCCCACCTAGCTCTGGGGCCCCTGCAGGCTAAAATGAACCTTAACTCCATCTATCCAAGGAGTCTCTTTCTCTCGCTCTTTTCTCCTGCCGTGGTCTCCTAGCTGAGTGTCTTAATCAGTGTTGCGAATCTTTAAATGAATATCAAATTCAGGAGGCGCAAGCTGTAAGATGTGGTGGGGGGGCGGGGTGTTATTAGTCGGGTAGAATACAGCCATTGTTCGGGGTGTGGTATGTGACGAGGGGTGGTGTGGGAGGGTGGTGGGGAGGGGTGTAGGGAGGGGTGGGTGGGGGGGGTGGGTGTGTGGGTGGGGGTGGGTGTAGGGGGTGTGTAGGGGTGTGGGGTGTAGGGGTGGGGGGGGTGTAGGGGGGTGGGAGGGGTGGGGTGTAGGGAGGGGTAGGGGGGTGGAGGGTGGTGGTGTAGGGGGGGTGTAGGGGGGTAGGGGGGTGGGTGGTGTGGGAGGAGTGGTGGTGTGGGGGTGGTGTGGGGGTGGTGTGGGGGGTGGTGTGGGGGTGGTGTGGGGAGGGTGGGTGGGGGTGTGGGGGGGGTGTGGGGGGTGGTGTGGGAGGGTGGTGTGGGGGTGGTGTGGGGGGGTGTGGGGGGTGGTGTGGGAGGGGGGGTGGTGTGGGGTGGTGTGGGAGGGTGGTGGTGGGGGGTGGGGGGGGGTTGGTGTGGGGTGGTGTGGGGGTGGTAGAGGGTGTGGGGGGTGGTGTGGGAGGGGTGGTGGGGGTGGTGGGGGTGGTGTGGGGTGGTGTGGGGTGGTGTGGGGTGGTGGGGGGTGGTGTGGGGGGTGTGGGGGTGGTGTGGGGGTGTGGGAGGGTGTGGGGAACACAGGACGTTGGAACAGGTGGACTATGGGAAGTGTTACTCGTGGTGTGTGTGTGTGTGTGTGCGTGTGTGTGTGTGTGTGTGGCAGGCGCTAGGATGATGGAAGGATGTGGGTGGGTAAAGAGATAAAACCAATAGATAATAGATAGTAAAATGGAATAACTAGGAATAACGCGAAAAGATGATGATGAAATGAAGGAAAAGCTGAACAGACACATACCAGAAGCTTGGCTTTATCACATCAACAAACACTCCTAAACTCCCACCTCCACCCTCTCACCCTCACCCCTCTCACCTCACCCTCCCCACCCCTCACACCTCTCCCACCCCTCCCCTCCCTCACCCCTCCACCCTCTCCCCCCCTCCACCCTCTCCCTCCACCTCCCACCCCTCTCCCCACCCCTCCACCCTCTCCCACCCCTCACCCCTCCACCCCTCTCCCCCCCCCCCTCCCACCCCTCCACCCTCTCCCCTCCACCCCTCCCACCCCTCCTCTCCCTCACCCTCTCCCACCCCTCTCCCCCACCCCTCCCCCACCCTCTCCCTCCACCCCTCCCCCCCTCCCCCCCCTCCCTCTCCCCCCCCACCCCTCACACCCTCTCACACCCTCTCCCTCACCCCACCACCACCACCTCCTCGAGGCGCCCCACGTACAAGAAGGCAAATCGAAAAAAAACTGAGAGGAGATAATGTTAGGAAATTCGACTGGATTGAAAACACAAAACGAGAGAGAGAAAGAGAACGAGACCTCACGTCCACTGTACTTCCTCTCTCGCAGCTGTGACCAAACTCTGTAAAAGTGAAAAAGTGGCCGACCAGCTGTGAGATTAGTGCAACAGCTGAGGTAACCGGCCGCCGTCCTGTCCAAACATCACTCGGCTTGGTCAGCTTGTCCTATACTACCGTGTGTGTGTGTGTGTGTGTAATTCACTTTGGAAACAATCTGATGCAATGTTGTAATTTAGATACATAGGATAATTGACGAATCCTGGTTGTAGATTACGTAGTTTTGGTGGGATAATTGGGATGATGGGTTGTTAGAGAAATGATGGTTACGTTGAGTTATTATTATTATTATTATTATTATTATTATTATTATTATTATTATTATTATTATTATTATTATTATTATTATTATTATTATACACACGTTTCCATACTTTATTATACTGTATTGGGATCAGTGTGAACAACTTGGCTCCCGATTACACTGCCCTCCAGAATATACTGAACAGTCTCCAAAATTGGGCCACCAACAACCATGTCACCATCAACCATATACCAAGACCATGGTTATACACATCAACCTCTCCTCTGAGTCAGAGGCCTTTCCCATCTTCCCCCATTACTTTGGGCCGCATCACACTCCAGGTTGTGGACGCCACCAAACTCCTCGGCGTCAATATAGATAACAAACTAAATTGGAAGACACACGTCAGTACAGTTGTCAAATCCTCCAGGTTTCGTCTTCACCTTCTCCATATCTCAAGTCCCTCGTAGTTCCTGGGCCCGAGTTCCTCAGTGTTTACTCAACATTCATACTTCCCAAGCTAACCTATGCCTCCCCTGCCTGGTCTGCCTCCCTAAATACCACGCAGCTGAATCTATGATGAGTTCTAGTTGAACTCCCAAAACCTTCTATCGCTTCGCCATATAAGAGCTGCAGTACACCCCCACACACCCACACCCCCAAAACACCATAGTACACCCCAACAACACCGCAGTACCACAATACACCCCCACAGCATCATAGTGCACCCCCACACCTCCACAACACCGCAGTACCACACAGCTTCGGACCACCATGCCTGGGCTACACTAGTGAGGGTTTATCTAATGAGGCATCATCCACGTGCCCGCCCAGATGGTGCCCAGCTGGTGGAGGGTATGATGCTGCACACCCTACCCTGCTGTACCACCATTATTATCACCACCACTACTACCACTACTACCACTGCTATAACCACCACCACCGCCACCACTGCTACCACCACTAACACTGCTATCACCACCGTTACCGCCACCACTGCTACCACCAACACCATCACCACTGCTACCACCACCGTCACCACCACTACCACTACTACCACCACTACCACCATCACCACCACTACCACCATCACCACCACTACCACCACCACTACCACTATCACCACCACCACCTACCACCACCATCACCACCACCCCACCACCACCACCATCATCCCACCACCACCACCACCACCACCATCACCACCACCACTACCACCATCACCACTACCACCACCACCACCATCATCACTTGTTTTAATGACCGCCTTCATAATAACATCATTATAATTACAATTGATTCACCCAAAAGGTGTTAAATAAATCTTGTGATAGAAGAAGAGTGAAGATGAGAGGGAAAGAGGGAGATAATGAAAGAGAGAAAGAAGAAAGAATAAGATAATTAAACAGTAAAGACGAGATAGAGAGAGAGAGAGAGAGAGAGATAAACGAAAACAATTAAAAATAAGATAAAGACGATGAATCAAGACTAAAGAATGAAGGGATAAGGAAAACAAGAAGAGAGAGACGATCAGGACGTTATGCATCACGAAATCATTGGGAAGAATCCTTCGAGTTGGACAGGAAACAGAGGAAGCACGTGGGAGATAAAAGGCCGGCTTAGCTAACATCCGGAGGTCGGTAATGAAAATAACCTCAGATGCCGAAGGCTTGTAATGGTCAGGATTATCTGTGTGTGTGTGTGTGTGTGTGTGTGTGTGTGTGTGTGTGTGTGTGTGTGTGTGTGTGTGTGTGTGTGTGTGTGTGTGTGTGTGTGTGTGTGAGTCACTGTGTTCAAGTCATTATCAGTTTTAATGTCTCACGGAAATGTTTCTGAAATTGTGTTATCAGGCGCCAGTATAACTAAGTAATGCTCTTGTTAACGTTGTGTGTTTGAGATTACCCCACACACACGCGCGAGCACACACACACACACACACACACACACACACACACACACACACACACACACACACACACACACACACACACACTTCTTCATAGACAAGAACATTATTATCTGTACTAAAAATGAAAACTGATAAATATGTACTTGTTTGTGTCTAGAATATGTCACAGAAAATCACATAATATATCCGAATGAAATAACAACATAATAAATAAAATGTTCAAGGTTTTCGATAATTTATTCACCCGATTATGAAGCTCAATAAAAATTCTGTTGTAAAAAGATATCATAAAACAATTTGGTGGAATTAATAAAGGAACACAGGTATTTCTTTGACATGTATTTGGCAGAGTTTATAACACCTGGGATATAATCAGCTACCGTCTTGATATTCTCAGTGCTAACCAAACGGGACCAAGCATAGTTAGGTTAGGTTAGGTCATGTTAGGTCAGGTTAGGTTAGGTCAGGTCAGGTCAGGTCAGGAGGTAATAGTGAAATGATCATAAAATACCTCTCACTTAAACAGACTGTTGACTTGTGAGTTCTGACACAGGTGGTGACGTACTGATAGGAGTTCAGCTGAACCAGTCACTAGTAACTGGAGTAACAGTCAGCCACTAGTAACTGGAGTAACAGGTAACAATCAGCCACTAGTAACTGGAGTAAGAGTAACAGTTAGCCACTAGTAACTGGAGTAACAGTAACAGTCAGTCACTAGTAACTGGAGTAACAGGTAACAATCAGCCACTAGTAACTGGAGTAAGAGTAACAGTTAGCCACTAGTAACTGCAGTAAGAGTAACAGTCAGCCACTAGTAACTGGAGTAACAGGTAACAATCAGCCACTAGTAACTGGAGTAAGAGTAACAGTTAGCCACTAGTAACTGGAGTAACAGTAACAGTCAGTCACTAGTAACTGGAGTAACAGGTAACAATCAGCCACTAGTAACTGGAGTAAGAGTAACAGTTAGCCACTAGTAACTGCAGTAAGAGTAACAGTCAGCCACTAGTAACTGGAGTAACAGGTAACAATCAGCCACTAGTAACTGGAGTAAGAGTAACAGTTAGCCACTAGTAACTGGAGTAACAGTAACAGTCAGTCACTAGTAACTGGAATTTAAGAGTAACAGTCAGTCACTAATAACTGGAGTAAAGTAACAGTCAGCCACACTAGTAACTAGAGTAAGAAGTAACAGTCAGTCACTAGTAACTGGAAGTAAGTAACAGTCGGCCACTAGTAACTGGAGTAACGAAGTAACAGTGGCCACTAGTAACTGGAGTAAGAGTAACAGTCAGTCACTAGTAACTTAGATACGTAACAAATCAACCGTAACTGGAGTAAGAGTAACAGTCGGCCACCTAGTAACTGGAATTAAGAGTAACAGTCAAGCCAATGGTAACTGGAGTAACAGTAACAGTCGGCCATAGTAACTGGAGTAAGAGTAACAATTCAGCCACTAGTGCTGGAGTAACAGTAACAGTTAGCCACTAGTAACTGAATGCAAAACATGATCCGGTCACTAGTAACTGGAGTAAGGTAACAGTCAGCCACTAGTAACTGCAGTAAGAGTAACGGTCAGTCACTAGTAACTGGAGTAACAGTAACAGTCGGCCACTAGTAACTGGAGGAAGAGTAACAGTCAGCCACTAGTAACTGCAGTAAGAGTAACAGTCAGCCACTAGTAACTGCAGTAAGAGTAACAGTCAGCCACTAGTAACTGCAGTAAGAGTAACAGTCAGTCACTAGTAACTGGAGTAACAGTAACAGTCAGCTTTGGCGGTAGTTTTAACACCATGTTTTCTGATAACGACACTTGAGGGTGATGTAACCTAATGAGGGACTGAGAGCCACACACGCACACACACGCACACACACACACACACGCACACACACACACACACACACACACACACACACACACACACACACACACACACACACACACACACACACACACACACACACACACACACACACGCACACACACACACACACACACACACACTTTGGCCTAGTCTTTGTATCATTACTAAGTCCATCTATTGGTAAATTTAACATAGGTTGTATTATTTGTGACTTAAGTAGATATTTAGTGATCTTTTATGAAACATGGAGAGAGGGAGGGAGGAGGTGGAGGGAGGGAGGTGGAGGGAGGAGAGAGGGAGGTGGAGGGGGAGGGAGAGGGAGGTGGAGGGAGGGGAGAGGGAGGTGGAGGGAGGGGAGAGGGAGGTGGAGGGGGGAGAGGGAGGTGGAGGGAGTAGGTGGAGGTGAAAGGTAATATTCACACTTTATCGTATCTACCTGTTAACACCTGTACTGACAAAGAACCGTTCACCTGAGGCTCTCTGTAGTCACCTTGGCCATCTAAACTATAAGAACATTTAACGAACTAGATGCACCAATAGAACCACTTTACTATAGAATTCAGATAACAATATAATAGAGATAGTTTATACCCCCCCCCCACCTCAAAAAAACCCCCACTTAAATAGAAGGGAATAATCGTGCGAAGCTGCATTAACCGAACGAATAATCTTATCCGAATTTCAATTATCCGGAACAAGAAGTCTTATATCATTATCTGTATTAGGTTATCATGGATGCCTATCTGTCTTGAATGGTCTTACAGTAGTTGTTTCTTAATAAGTGTTTTCCTCCGTAGCTGTTTCTGATAGTGTGTGTAACGCCAGGAAAAGAAATTATATCGACTTGAGAGATCCATTCATCCGATACCGATACCTACACCGATATTGGTTAGGTTTACGTTCATTATAACCTAACCTAACGTAACCTCAACCTAACCTAACGTAACCTCAACCAAATCTAACGTAACCTTAACCTAACCTAACCTCAACCTAACATAATATAACCTAACCTAACCTACCCTGCCTATAACCTACTTTAGCGTGATCTAACCTGCCCATAACCTACTTTAGCGTGATCTAACCTACCCATAACCTACTCTAACGTGATCTAACCTACCCATAACCTACTCTAACGTGATCTAACCTGCCCATAACCTAACCTAACCTACCCTGCCCATAACCTACTTTAGCGTGATCTACCCTGCCCATAACCTACTTTAGCGTGATCTAACCTACCCATAACCTACTCTAACGTGATCTACCCTGCCCATAACCTACCTACTCTAACGTGATCTAACCTGCCCATAACCTACTCTAACGTGATCTAACCTGCCCATAACCTACTCTAACGTGATCTAACCTGCCCATAACCTACTCTAACGTGATCTAACCTGCCCATAACCTACTTTAGCGTGATCTAACTTACCCATAACCTACTCTAACGTGATCTAACCTGCCCATAACCTAACCTAACCTACCCATTAACTAATATCCAGAGAGTGCTGTCTTAAAATTATTAATTGTTAATGGACTAGTGTAATTTTTAACATCAATGACCTAAGCTAATGTATTCTAAATATAGCTAACGTAATTTACATATATCTGAGGAAAGCTAAATAACCAAATTCTTGATATCATTACGAAAAATAGTTATTCTATTTGAGTTGGATTAGACTATTAGTAATTATTTCCGCATTACGAAATCCTGTTATTGGAATCCTCAGCGTAATCAAGTCTTTTATCAATAAGTTTAAAGATTGTTATTGTAAATTTATATTCAAGCAATACAGGAAAACAATATCCTTTTACTGGCCGTCATCAAGTAACAACATATAAACCAGTAAAAATTTGACGAGGTAAACTGGAATTAGCGGCAAGTCTCCTCCATATTTGTTAACTTTATTGTGTATCAGAATCAATCAGATAACCTCGCTGTTAACTTAATCGATAACTTGAATAATTTTATGACATATTGTTTATTTCAGATAATCTTTTTATATTAATTAATGTTTGATTTAGAGTACGTGAGTGTATTGTTATTTACTCGTATATTATAATACCGTCAAGCTGAATGTAGCGGCGGCGAAGCGTCTCACACTTCACCTCAATGGTCTAGGCTTTAGTTAGATTAGTTTGTATAAATGAATGATGTGATTATGAACGACTAATCATCTAAATACCAAACAAGTTAATATATAAAGACTATACGCATACCAATCTACAATTACTGTACATACATACATACACCGTTAGTATTTATTACCTCTTTAGCCTCTCAGAAGTCCTTCATTTCATCCCCGATTCTTTCACCTCAAATCGCTGTCCACATTTTACTCCTACACAGTGTCTCTCTCTCACCGCCAGGCAGGTCCTCAGTCCACACCGTCAGGCAGGTACTCAGTCCATACCGTCAGACAGGTACTCAGTCCTCACCGTCAGGCAGGTCCTCAGTCCTCACCGTCAGGCAGGTCCTCAGTCCACACCGTCAGGCAGGTACTCAGTCCACACCGTCAGGCAGGTCCTCAGTCCACACCGTCCTCAGTCCACACGTCAGGCAGGTACTCAGTCCACACCGTCAGGCAGGTACTCAGTCCACACCGTCAGGCAGGTCACCAATCCACACCGTCCAGGCGGGTCCTCAGTCCACACCGTCAGGCAGGTCCTCAGTCCACAGTCTCGGGTCAGTCACCGTCAGGTCTCAGTCACACCGTCCTCAGTCCACCGTCAGGGCAGGTCCTCAGTCCACACCGTCAGGCAGGTACTCAGTCCACACCGTCAGGCAGGTCCTCAGTCCACACCGTCAGGCAGGTCCTCAGTCCACACCGTCAGGCAGGTCCTCAGTCCACACCGTCAGGCAGGTCCTCAGTCCACACCGTCAGGCAGGTACTCAGTGTTTGTGAATCACACACCTAGTCTAAATGTATAAAGTAAATAACAAATAAATCACCTGAAGGTTCACCCCCAGTTTATATCACCTGATGATTAGCCTCCCTAACACTAACCTAACTTGACCTAACCATAACTCATCTTAACCTAATCTAGCGTAATCTAAACTAATCTAACCTAACGCAATCTAACCTAACCTAACCTAACTACCTCCTTAAGTTGGCCGACGGGGATTTTTGTACACCTGCTGAATATACAAGGTGTTCCAAAATTACGTATCCGTGGTTATAAATCACTCTTTACCTTTATTTCACCAAACATTTAAATTACCTGCTATCAACATTCACACAGAGGGTTAACTCTTACATATAATCCCCTCTGCATGGTTCTCAGTTCCTTCGCTTAAATCTTCAGTTCGTCGATACAATACTCCGAACGTTTTGGGACACCATCTATGTGTAAATATATTTATCGGTAAACTTTTCGTTGATTTAAACATGGAGATAAATTAACGTTTACCTTGATAGGTTAATAATGGAAATATCACTAGTTGAAGGTGTGTTTGAGTGACAAATTATTCTCTCTCTACTCCTGGGTTACCGACACTCACCTGTCTATTAAGGTGATCACCGGCGAGGTCTTGGTCTTACAGCTTGTGGGAGGTGTTACACTGCGGACCTATGCTACACCAACACCAGGATCCTCTGCAAGCAAATCACACAGCTGAGTTGCGTCTAACACACTCACGGTCTGGCCGTACACTGATTAATAGTTGGCACCCTTACTTGTGACATCTTAGCTGCCCTCCTTAGTCGTGGCTCCTCCCGGCACTCTGTAGCAACCAATAGGGGGAGACCCATGGCACAAGTAGCCAACCAAGGGCCAGATACCAAAGTGATGGGCGGAGCTTTCTTGCCCAACTCTTCTCAGGGGAATGTTGATTGGCTTGTTAAGATCACGAAGTTCTAGATGATTGGTTGTCGTAACTTGAGGAGCGATTAGGGTGATTCAGATGGTTGACTAGGAACTCGTTCTGGCTTCTATTTCAGTGAAGACAGACACTTGGTCTCAACGCCGGGCCGTGTTTACCGTGTTACAGCTGCACGTTGTTATACCCGTCTTCATGTAACACGGATTAACTCAGAGCCAAGAATCATCCGTCAAGTTCGATGAGGAAATGCTTGAGATATCCTTCCCCTGTTGACCCTTTGAGTGTGATGAGTTACCGGCCTGAGTACAATGTTCATCGTACGTACTAAAAGGAATAAGGCATTGTATTAAACGGGTTAACTTTCTGGTCTTAAGAGCTTAAGTCTTTGTTCTTGAGAGTTGAAGACATTTTACTCAGTTAATTTTCTGTGCTCATGGGGTGGACATCGTACTCAACGGGTTAATACATCTTACTCACAAAGCTAATTCACTGTGTACGCAAGGGAAGGAAAGAAGGAGGGAGAGAGAGAAAGAGACAGAGAGGGGGGGGGGGGCTTGTTGGCATCATACTCAAGAAGTTAAACTAAGCTTTAAGCCACGCCGACAGACAATTTAGTAGACGTGAGGCGTCTCATCGTTGCATCTAGGATCATATAGCGAGGAGGAGGATGACTTTGCCACATGTTAGGACGCGCGGGGTGTGTGACTCTGGTTACCTCCACCTCCGTGTTGTATAAAAGAACGTGTCCTCGAGGCCCAGTGTACTTCAGATTACAGGAGTAAATAGTTATATTAAAGCAGGAAAAGGAAAAAAAAGTAGTTTCTCCCCCACACGGATGAAATATTAGTCTTCAGTATAAAAGTAACTTCCTCACGAGAACGTTTATGTCCCTCTCTCTCTCTCTCTCTCTCTCACACACACACACTCATGCCTATATACACACACATATACATCTACTTATACACACATACATCCACACACCCACAGACACCTATAGTAAACACAGACACCCACCTACACACAGACACAAACATTATGGCGTTGTTCAGACTGTGGGAAGACCCAGTGTGTCCTTCTGCAGGTCCTGGCGCCTTGCTGTTGCCTCCAGATCTATTACGTTATTGGGATTACCTAATGATTAGACACCCCAGATATTTAACCTGATAATTAAATATCCTAAAACTACTTTGAGGGGTTAGGTCAGGTTAGGTTATATAGGTTCAATCAATCAGAGTACCGTCCATATATCTTAGGGTTGGCGACCACAGTCCTCCACTCTAATCGTTCTTGGGCTGAGTTTACCAAAATCATTCAAGGTCTTGTATCTTTCTGGTGACTCAGTTTTTAATTTTATTCGTCCATCCCAGTCTCTGCGTTCCCCTGGCCCCCATCCCAGTCTCATGTTCCCCTGGCCCCCAACCCAGTCTCTGCGTTCCCTGGCCCCCATCCCAGTCTCTGGCAGTGTTCCCTGGTCTCATCCTAGTCTCTCAGTGTTCCTGGCTCCTGCAACCCAGTTCTGCGTTCCCTGGCCCCCATCCCAGTCCCCCTGTCCCTGGCCCCCCATCCCAGTCCTGCGTCCCTGCCCCATCCCAGTCCTGCGTTCCCTGGCCCCATCCCAGTTCCCCAGGTTCCCCTGGCTCCCATCCCCAGTCTCTGTGTCTCCCTGGCCCCATCCCAGTCTCATGTCTCCCTGGCCCCCCATCCCAGTCTCTGTCCCCTGCCCCCATCCCAGTCTGTCTCTGGCCCCCATCCCAGTCTCTGCGTCTCCTGGGTCTCCCTCCATCCCAGTCTCTGCGTCTCTGCCCCCACCCCCAGTCTTTTATGTCTCTGGGTTCTATCCCAGTCTCTGGTGTCTCTGGCTCCCCCATCCCAGTCTCTGCGTCCCCTGGCCCCCCATCCCCAGTCTCTCAGGTTCCCTGGCCCCATCCTGTAGTCCCCCTGCGTCTCTGGCCTCCCCATCCCAGTCTCCCAGTGTCTCTGGTCCCCCATCCCAGCCCCCTGTTCCCCAGCCCCATCCCCAGTCTCCCCTATGTTCCCCTGTCTCTATCCCAGTCTCTCAAGGTCTCTGGCTCCCCATCCCAGGCCCTGTCTCTGGGCCCCATCCCAGTCTCTCCATGTCCTGGCTCTGATCCTATCTCTGCGTTCCTGGCCCCCATCCCAGTCTCTGCAAGCCCTGGTCTCCCCATCCCAGTCTCGCGTCTCTGCCCCCATCCCAGTCTCTGCGTCTCTGGCCTCCCCATCCTGGTCTCTGCGTCTCTGGCTCCCCATCCCAGTCTCTCAGTTCCCTGCCCCCATCCCAGTCTCTGCGTTCCCCTGGCCCCCATCCCAGTCTCTGCGTTCCCCTGGCCCCCATCCCAGTCTCTGCGTTCCCCTGGTCCTCCTACCCTCAACTTCGATCATTAAAATTTCTGTTATTTTTCCCTCTTCCCTAATTATATGACCAAAAGTATCTAATTTTTCTTTTTCTGTACTTTCAAGTATTTCTCTTGAAGTTTTTGCTAATCTTATAATTTCTTTATTTATTTTCCTGTCTGTAAGCTTATCATTAGCATCGCCTATAACACCACATTACAAAGGCCTCCAACCTCTTTCTGGTGTCTGCTGAAAGTGTCCACGCTTCTGATCCATACATCAGTCCTTGTCATGGTGTTAGTTTAGTCTAGTTATGGTTAGGTTTAGGTTATGTTATATCAGTTTCTTGGTGTTTAAACGACACACGAAATAAGCTGGGGTGAGTAATGTTCAGGTCATGCCTTTAGTGTCCCTAGTGACAGTGGTCTTGGTGTCTGTGAGAGGATGAAGCCTTAAAGTGCTCTCAACTATGAGTGTTTTGAGGATGATGCCACAGGTTATAGATTACACACACACACGGAGCCGCCCGCTACTATACGGCGCTCCAACCCTCGGCAGCGTTGTGGGAGAGACGACACAGAGCTTAGACGATTTTCCCCACGCCTTCGATTTAATCTAACCTAACCTAACCTTATCCCCTTAAACAGTGTTAGTTTTTTAATCTTTAGGTTAAATAAGTTAGGGTGGTGATTATTCAGGTGATTATTTTTTTTTCTTCAATATTATCACCTGTAAGTAAGGAACACTTGTAGTTAAGATGGCTGATGTAATGCCTATAACTTTAGCAATACCCATGTGAACTATATATGAACATTAGCAGAGGCAGTGAGTGTGTGTAGGATAGTGAACATTACTAAGAGAATAATGTTTAGTGTCTCTTTGTATCGCCTTTTCCCGTATTGTTTAGTCGATGAATGAGACACTGTAAGGTAAGGTGTTCTGTTTAATGTAGAAAACAAATTGTCAGGTGATGTATTTGGCTGGTCTACCTGTCGCTGCTATACAGGTAAATTTTAATTGTGTTATTGTTTTTATTTACACGTAGTGGCCTGTGTTATTCAGAGACCAAAGGTATAATTCTATCGTGATGTCACTGAATCAGTTTTCTATATAGATTCAGTCATCATTGTCCATCGTTAGAATTTTCCGGAATATGTTACTTAAGACATTACATCAACCTTTAAGTAATTCAGCCATTATAAAATACATCTGGACAGGTATGATGCAAAATACATTTCATACTTAAGATAAAAACAATAATTATGATGATGAGCTCTCTACAGCCACTCTCTATCCCCAGTCAGCGGTCACCTGTCTTACAACCACCACCATCGACCTTAAGTTAAGGTTTGGAGCAGTAAATAAGTCTAGGTCACAGAGTCGAGGTGGTCAGGAGAGGACAAGTGGTCACACGGGGTAAGGGAGGTAGTGTATGTTGTGGGGTGACATCGTGGGAGTGACTAGTTCATTAGCGGCCGCAGGAAATGTCCACCTACCAATTCTCTCTCTCTCTCTCTCTCTCTCTCTCTCACGTCCTCTGGCTCCCGATGACACCCCTTCCTTCCTCCTCACTTCCTCCTCCTTGTGACCTCCCCTCTTCCCTTCCTCCTTTTCTCCTTCATGTGTCATAAGAACATAAAAACATAAGAATGGAGGAAACTGCAGCGGGCATATTGGCCCATACTGGGCAGTCCCGTTTACATACCCAACCCCTATCGCTCATATATCCGTCCAACCTGTGTTTGAAGCTATCCAGCGTATTCGAGTTAATGCTGATATTTGGTACCTTGTTCCACTCATCCACTACTCTATTTCCAAACCAGTGTTTACCTATTTCGCGCCTAAATCTAAATTTGTCTAATTTAAAACCATTTTACGAGTTCGCTCCTGGTTGGATAGTTTGAGTACCTTTGTTATATCACCTTTGTTCAGCCCTGACTTCTATTTATACACCTCGATCAAGTCGCCCCTCACTCTACGTCTCTCGAGGGAGTGCAAATTAAGATGCTTTAACCTGTCTCTGTACTCAAGGTTCCTAATGCCCGGGATTAGTCTTGTCATTCTCCTATGAATTCTTTCTAATTATTCTGTATCCATTCTGTAACACTGTGACCAGAATTGAACTGCGTAATCCAAGTGAAGTCTCACAAGCGCAAGGTATAGTTTTTAGGATGACCTCGCTAGTCCTGTAACTAACACTCCTTTGTATGAATCCAAGTACTTTATTAGCCTTGTTTCGAGCAAATACACATTGTTTACTTGGCTTAAGATTCCCACTTATCATTACTCCTAAATCTTTCTCGCAGTCGGATTTCTCTATAACATCGTCCATTTTCCAGACCATTCGAAAAATTTGTTTAGATCTTCCTGTAGTTTTGCGGAATCCTCGTCAGATTTAATTACACGTCCTATTTTAGTGTCATCAGCAAATTAAAAATTTACTTATGTTGCTGTCTACACCAATATCTATGTCGTTTATGTATACAGTGTATAATAAATAATAATAGTCCAAGTACTGAGCCTTGGGGAACTCCACTAGTGACATTGCTCCCTCCTTTCCCCCCTTCTTCCTAGTTGTGGCCTTCCTCCTTCCCTCCACCCCTTTCTCCTTCTTGTGATTTCCCTCCTCACCCCTCCCCCCTCTCTCTCTCTCTCTCCTTCCCTCCCTCCTCTGACCAGGTAGCGATAAAATAAACGCGAAATAATCCTTTAATCTAACAGTGCAAGAACAGAATGACACACACACACACACACACACACACACACACACATCTCGGCGCTGTGACAAAGTACCTCATTAGTGTACTACAGGAAATGAGATTCCCCTTTTGTCCTTTGTCACCCTCGTCGACCTAACAACCACACTAGGTTCAACTACCACACCAGACCAGGTTCAAGTACTAGGTCAATTAAAGTCTCTGTAGTTTCTGTTCATTTAAATTATTCCTCATTATTATCCTCTGTTATCTCTCTAATTCCCTCTTCTTCATTTTCTTATTTCCTTAAACATGGTTCTAACACCCGCTTCTATGCCAGGATGAGTGTCTGTTCGGTTCACTAACTTATGCGACACTCTGTTCTGTATTCCCCAAATCCAATGTTATATATATAGAGAGAAATGTGAGAGACAAATTAAAAGGTTTTGATACATGTGGATTTAATAAGAAAAATATAGGTTAATAAAATCGACGCATTGGTGGATTTTGTTTTGGTTTTCCTTGCGAGGCTTTGTGTACGGGAGCCATTTTGTATTATAAGGCCTAAAATAAGTATATTCTTGTAACTCTTTTTTATATTATATTTTTATATATAATATACATCAATAAACGTATTAATGATATAATATTTAATTGCTATATGAAATTGAGTTTCTTTTTATTTATTTTAATATATATTGATAGTATAAAATGTTGACCCCATTCATACGGGGTATTTATTTTTTCTTATTGTCATATTTGATGTAAGAGTATGTTCTTAAGTGTTTACCATTTATTTACTTTATCTTTTTCTTTGTCTTTTCTCCTTCCTTCCTTCCTTCCTTCCTTTCTCCTCGTGTTATCATTCCTTCTTCCCCGTGTTCGCCCCCTCCTCCTTCCTTTCTTCCTTCCCTTGTTAGCCTCTCCTCCTCCTCTTCCTCCTACCTTAGGTTCTCCTTCTTTCCATCCTCCCCGTGTTCGCCTCCCCTTCTTTCCCGTGTTTGCCTTTCCTCCTATTTTCCTTCCTTCCTCCCCGTGTTCACCTCCCCTTCCTTTCTTCCTTCCCGTGTTAGCCTCTCCTCTTCCTTAGTTCCCCTTCTTTCCTTCCTCCCCGTGTTCACCTCCCCTTTCTTCCCGTGTTTGCCTTTCCTCTTCTTCTTTCTTTCCTTCCTCTCCGTATTCGCCTCTTCCCCTGCGCTGTCGCCCCGTCTAATGCTCATCTGTTATGCACGAGTGACACTGAAGGTAAACATACCCCAGCAGGCTGCCACGAGTCGTTCTCTTCGCCTCTACCCCTAAAATCTTCGCGTTTGTTAATGAACGAAAACAGAAAACGTTCTCTCTAAAACTGAATTGAATATAACAGTAAATAAACCAATTGCTGTTATTGTTTTTCATGTAAGATTAGGTTTATTTTTGTTTTAATGTGAGGAAACTTTTTTCTGTTTTTTTAATTTGGTTTTAACGCAACGTGGGAATATTTATAGAAGTGAACGATGTCTTGTGGAGGTTGAAGGTAGAGTTAGTGAGGTTTCTCCAAGCGTCTCTTTTTTATTTTTTATTTTTTTTGTTTAAAGAATCCCAACACTCACCAAACAACAACGTGATGAACAATGCCTGACGGGTCGCTGAGGAAGACGTCACCTGTCGAAGTAAACACGAGGTAGCGAACAAGACTTTTTAACTACTTCAGTCCTTATGCTCCCGGGGGTGAAAGTCGATAATCCCGTCAGATGGTGTTGTTGTGACCGGAACGTAAAGGTGAAACTTTTAAAACAGGGTTAGTGAGTGTGTAGGGCAGAAATACATGGGATTACCTGATGATGATTAGGCACCTTGGCTTATTTCATCTGCCAGATGATTAATCATTCCAACGTTACTGGAGGGTGTATGAATCCTACACTATGTATAAGTAACGTGAGTAGGTTAGGTTAGGTTAGCGTTAGGATGTTTAACCACGAGGTGAAATAAACTGGGGTGTCTGATCTTCAGGTGGTTCTTTGTCCTCTAGGAGTTACTATAGTTCTCAGGAATGATGTAAGGTCAGGTCAGCGTGAGGTCAGGTCAAGGAAAATATCCGGTGAGTCCGTGTACGCTGAGATCACCAACACGTCCTCACACACACACACACACAGGAGACACGCAACACCTTCATAAGAACATAAGAAAATAAGGAGTCTGCAATAGGCCGGTTGGCCTGTGCATGGCAGCTCCTGTCGAGAGTTACTACCACTCTCTATCATCCATGAATCTATCTAGCCTCCTTTTGAAACTTTCCAGAGTTCCAGCACTTACTACAAAGTTGCTAATCTTGTTCCACTCGTCCACCACCCTATTTGTGAACCAGTTCCTTCC